AAGCAGTTTACTAATTAGTAAAGCAGTTTACCCACCTTCAGGACCATGATGTATATTTAAATATCTCTCTGAATGATGCTTGTTGATTTCTAAAATATGAAATATTTTAATTACATACAGGAAATGAACTTTCAACCAACGCAGTTCGAGTGATAATGGTTTCCAATTCTATTTCCTATTTACAATTAAATATACCGTGTTTTACATCAAATGTCACAATATTATAGAGCTTAAACGTATAAATTTTTTCAAATATATATAGCCACCCTTATCACAGGAAATTGCATTAATAGAAAAGTAGAAATAGCAGAATAAGCAGATTTCCGATTGCTCATATATATAACACTAGCTGATAACCTGCCGTTGCCCACTCGGGCAACTGCTAAAAAAAATCTGCTTATTCTGCTAAATACCCATTTATAGATGTTGAAGTGTTTGTCTGATACAGAACCATTGAGAGGGGCCTTTCTTCCAGTGGTGGGTTTCCATTTTTTTTTACTACAGGTTCACTTGAGCGCATGCGCAGAAGCATCCGGGCAGGTGGGCGGAGCTTCCTGCCACCGCCACTACCAGATCACCTGATCCAGGCCAAACCGGGAGCAACTCATCTCTGCTTTCTTCCCCTTACTCCCATGCCCATCTTCCCTGCCCTCTCCCTTCCCCCCTCCCATGTGCTCCTCTTTCCCACCCTGTCTACAATCCTGGCACTTTGCCCTAAAGCGTTTGTCTGACAGGGAGCCATTGAAAGGGGCCTTTCTTCCTCCTACTCCCTTGCCCATCATCCCTTCCCTCTCCCTTCCCCCTTCCATGCACTCCTCTTTCCCACCTGTCTACAATCAGGCACTCTGCTCCAAAACCATCAGGCACTTCCCCATTGGTCCACTGGAAGATGAATGTCACGACTGACTTTCCAGAGGAAACTGTGAAGGAACTGACATCACAAACAATTGCCACTCTAGGATGCCACACTCACTCTCCTTAACGGTCCAGGGGCTCCAGAGTTATGCTGGAACACACACACACACACACACNAACCTAACCTAACCTAACCTAACCTAACCTCTCAACTTGCAGTTGTTCTTCTTCAAAAGAAAAGGCAAATTTACCATTCACTTGCATTGAACAGAATTATACAGTAAGCTTTCATCACATCTGCACATTTCTGCAGCTGAGATTTCTAAAGTGGCCAGAGAAGAAATAATTGGGAAAATGTCAAAATCAAATTTGCAAACTCTTTAAAAGATTTTTTTTCTTCTCCTCATTAAAACTTTACCCCCCCCTTTTAAACTTATCTTTCTTCCCCATATCCTTTCTGCAACCAGATTCTCTCTTCATTCATATCCCCGATCCAATTTAAGCACAAATAAACAATAATTAACAGAGGATTAATGAAAATCCTCTAATTGGTTTAGTTTAAGGAAGTGCTTCATTGAGCTCTGGCTTCTCCCTTCTCAGATCATTTTGTACTTCTGTATAATGTTCTACTATTTTTTGTACTTTGTTAGTTCATATTCTTGTTTTGATACATAGAAATAGTTCCTCTTCCTTATTAAATAGTTCCTCTTCCATATGAAAATAATATGGCTTGAAAAACAAATACTCATTTCAGAACATATTTTGCTTTGAAGTAATTCTTCCTTTAAAGCAAAGGTGTCAAACTCAAGGCCTGCAGGCTGGTTTTCCCCAATGGGATGTTTAGATTTGGTCTGTGGGGCTGCCCTGGAAACAGCGAAGGACTGGCCAGCTGTACCTCTCCCAATGAAAATAGAGCTCGGGAGGGCCATGCACAGTCCTACCAGGTCCCCTTTTTGGCTGCAACGGCCTCCTGCAGCCCTCTGTTAGCGAAAACAGAACTCCATTTTCATTGGCAGAGGACTGCAGGAGGTTGTTGCAGCCGAAAACAGAGCTCAGGAGCCCATTTTCTCTGGCAGAGTGCTCTGACCACCACAGGCACCCCTGACACAAGTGATGTCGAGCTGGCCGCACCAGGCCTGGCCATGCCAACCCAGACCCCTGAAGTCAGACACAACTTTGATGTGGCCCACAATAAAATAGAGTTTGACACCCCTGGTTTAAAGGCTTAAACACGTTTCCTTTTTGAAGCATGGCTAGACTAAAATTTTGGGGGAAATTTACTTTATCTCCTTTCTAATTTATTTGTTCGCGGAAACCAACATCTTGCAAAATTCTGTCTCTTACCCAAGCATTTTCTTTATTATATCCCTTGATGTTTGCATCTGATTAAACCTAGATCTGATTGAACCTATGGCCATGTTCCACGTCTTCAATCTAAAAGCTTTAAATCAGACAGCTTGTCATTAAGTTTTGAGACGAGCTATTGAACAGAAGACGGCTTTTCTACATTTTGTCAGATTCCTCTAATCAGCTAATTATTTCTTCTGTTCTGATCCTATACATCAGCCAGCTCAGGTCCAAAGTCTGCAACATATTTTATCATCAAAAGCATGCTCATTGTGCATCACAGTATCAGAAATATGCCAGTAGTCAAAGCAACCTCTTGAAACCTGAGAATACAATCTGTTAGTTGTTTATTAACTTGTTCAACTTTTCCTGCCCACACCTTTTGGACTATATTAGTTGACTTATCCCATTTTGCCTGTACTTCTGATTTGCATTGCTTTCCTTGATTTTCTATTCCGTCAGTTTTAAAGCTTTGTCTCAATGGTGCTTGATGTCTAAAGTCTCCACTGGAATCTGATCCTCCTTTGCCCTATCTTCTTCTTAACTAGAGTGAGGTGCTCTTCAGCTGATTCATCCACGTAAGCTTTAATTCTTCTACCTTTTTAGAATTACCTTTCTTATTCATTTTCTTAATACTATTCCTGTCTATTATTTGACTATTCAGACAAACATGAATGGTGAAAATGGTCAGACAAGGTAAGCTGGGGAGAAAGCTGGGGAGTCCTTCGGGATTGGGCGGCCTAGAAATTCAATAAATGAAATGAAATGAAATGAAAGCAGTGTTCCAATATCTCAGGGCCTGCCACAAAGAAGAGGGAGTCAAGCTAGTCTCCAAAGCACTTGAGGACAAGACAAGAAGCAATGGGTGGAAACTAATCAAGAAGAGAAGCAATCCAGAACTAAGGAGAAATTTCCTGACAATTAGAACAATTAATCAGTGGAACAACTTGCCTCCAGAAGTTGTAAATGCTCCAACACTTGAAGTTTTTAAGAAAATATTGGATAACATTTGTCTGAAATGGTGTAGGGTTTCCTGCCTAAGCAGGGGGTTGTACTAGAAGACTTCCTAGGTCCCTTCCAACTCTGTTA